TGGAGAATACATGCACTGAAGCATCTGACATGCCTCATTTCTGACCTGTGGGGAGGGATGAACACTTGAAGTGAGACTATCAAATTCTCCTGCATGGGCACACAGACTGGTCACCAGGCAGGACAAAATCCAAGATCTTCAGCACAAAAAACACAAGGTCTTGCTCTACTATGTGCCTTCTCAGGCTTAAGTGAAGCACTGGTTTTCTTCTTGCACTGAAGCATCTGACATGCCTCATTTCTGACCTGTGGGGAGGGATGAACACTTGAAGTGAGACTATCAAATTCTCCTGCATGGGCACACAGACTGGTCACCAGGCAGGACAAAATCCAAGATCTTCAGCACAAAAAACACAAGGTCTTGCTCTACTATGTGCCTTCTCAGGCTTAAGTGAAGCACTGGTTTTCTTCTTGTGAGCATGTGCCCAAGAGTAGCTGCATATACCAGTTGAAATTAGGGACTGAACTACCCATTGGTCCTGACCTGGCCCAAATTCAGGCCATGCCAATGCCCATTTCTTTTCTTGAGGCTGTTAACATGTACCACCACTACCAGCAGCTTTTAATGGGCACTTCTTACTTACACTTGCTTACTACAAGAAGTAGTGTCTTATATTTTCCATCTACTCAGATTACATCTGAATGAAAAGACTGAAATATTTAGGAACCTTTTTTTCCCCTGGAGACTCTGTGACTTGCTTAGGCTCTATAGTTGGCTGTGCTTGATTATGAGAAGACTCACATAACACTCTGTGAATTTCTTTATTGCAGTTCTGAACATTTTCTGGCTTATATATAAACCCAATATCTTATTACCTTTAAAGGTGTCCATTAAATATAACCATTTACAGTTAGTGCCATTTAGTGCCATGTTAAGTGCATCCACTACTCTTTGCAACCTCAATGTCCACAAATGCATTATACACAGCAGGAAGGTGTTATGCAACAAAAAAAGAAGGCAAAAAAAAAGAAGTTTATCTTCTATTGTTTTCAGCAGAAAATGCTGCATTTTCTTTTCCCTATGTGCAGTTTTCCTGCCACTGCAGGAAGAGGAGGCTCTGATCTTGCTCACTATGTGAACCTACTGGTAAGAGAAGGATTCTCCCTATTTATGGTCCTGAGCCTTTAAAGTGATGGTGCTCTCTCATTTTAGAACATCAAACTGAGTTGGTCTGGGGGAAAGCACGTGCCCTTGGAAAAGGTCAGAGGCACAGAAGTTAATGAGGAAGTATTTCTGTATTTTGTATATTCACCTACAAAACAAACAGTATAAAGACTGGACACCTTCTGAGTTAGATGTTACCTTTGGCTGGTACAATCAACAATATCTGCCACTCCAGAAAGCAAATGTCTGTGGACTATATATATGTGGACTGGATAAAATGTTATAGGGTAGTTTAAAAGGATCATATACAAGATCTGTTAAAATCTATATAACTATTTCCTTAATGTGTCAGACTAATCTCTGGTGCTCAGTCCTTTAGCACTGTGGCCCTTGTGCTGCTGCTTGCCCTGCTGTGAAGGAGCTGTTCTCTGTGTGTTTGACTTGAACATTCTATAAAGATGAACACCAGCAAACAAACCTGGGGGAAAAAAGAGCACTAAACCCTGACATCTTGTTTTTAAAAAAGATCGATATTCACGTTCATCTTATGCACTAGAAATGAGAGTGCAGTAAAGAAAACATGTGAAAACATCAATACAGTCGGTCTGAGAAAACAGCAAAGTCCAAAATCATCCAAGTTAATGACCAGACCAACATTCTCAGCTGATCTCATTTTCCTCACAGATTTAGAACCATTTCCAAACAGGTAATTTTTACCTGTGGCAAAGTCCCTAAGCAGAGGAGAACACTTCCATGGGCTTCCACCTTAATTATGGAATAGTTCAACTTTGGTAGACTTTAATTAATTTATTAACATATTCCTGATGTAGTTATTTTCTATTTAATCTCATTACCTTTCATTCTTGCTTCACAAAGCTTTGTGCACACAATTCCCCAGCAGCATTATTCTCTCTCTTTATCTTGATGCAAGACAGCCACACAGGCACACACTGCTGAGAGCTTCTGTACTGCATTTCTCAGTAAGATCTGAATACTCCTGTGGTAGCTCTGTAGAACTTGCTGGTGTGATCACCAAAAAAAAAAAGTCCCAGTTCTGCTCTTTGAAAGGTGGAGCACAAGCGAAGTCACTAAAAATGCATAACCTGAGAAACACAAACTCTTTGATGTGTGTTTACCTTGAAGCTCTGCAGACCTTTATGACCATTAGGAAATGAAAACCGATAAAAAACCCAACAAAAAACCCCAAAAAAACTAAATAAACCCCCCCATAAAAAACAATCCTCAAACCATTTCTTTTCTAATGATGTTCTTTCACCCTGCGTTTGGGGAAGCATTATTGTTGTGTCCTAGTTAACTGTGTATCTTGTTCATCTTTTCTTCCACAAATAGTCCTGAACTAAATATTTTTCAAAACTTCTTTTGTGGCCTACATCTTTACATTACAGTCTGTGTTAAAATAGCCTTCAAACCCCATGCAGAAAAAAAGAAGCCTGTTTCAGGGTGAAGGCATGCTAGAAATGTAAACCAGGAATGCAAGAGGAAAGGAGAAGGAGCAGGGATGGATCCTTTGCTTTCAACCCCATGCTACGTCTGCTGCTCACTGTCAGCTTTCTTCAAGGGGTGGCACAGGCTCTCTGCTTCCTGGGGCCTTTACAAATAGTGAAACAGTACATTTTGGATTTATTCAGGTAAGATTAGTTCCAAGAACGTTTTAAAACTTGTATCAGTACCTGCCAGCAGAGCAGCACTGAATGTAAGGGAGCCAGGAAATCAA